CTAATTGTTGGCTGGATTTATTTTTTAAATATGTGGGACATGTCAACTTCAAATATCAATTAAATAAACAAACACTGAAATCTGGATGGCTATTATCTTGCCAAGTTACAGGTGGAATTTTAGGATCTCAAGCGACATTAGCAAAACTAAAAAATGACGGTAAAGTTGAATTGTATCTTTGAAAATTGTGGGAGCCATTAATCTAAAAAATTATTGTGTAGGCAACTAGTGCAAAGTAAATTGTGCACTGACCCAATGGAGAATGATGTGATTTGACATTTTCAGATTTAAGTACTAGGTAATAGGACCTGTCAAACTAATTGGATTTACTAGGTTCAATGTGATAATGTTTTTTTTTTAATATAAAATAAAAATAAATCTAAAATATTTGTCATATTATTTTTATTCTACACATAAACTTATTGTTAATAATAAATATTGATAAATGTTATTCAAATTTTTAAGTGTGATAACATGACGTATTTTATTTTTTATATGTATTTAAAAGCAACTTAATTATAAATTCATGTTTTATTTTAGTTTTTAACATTATAGAATTATGATATTACATTTTTTTAATTTTTAATTTTATATTATTTAATTATTATAATGATTTATTAATACTAGTTCGACCATGATGAACAATGGAGCCTTGAACTGGTGCCTAGACTGATTCAGTTACTGGTTTTAAAAATATAGGTATTTATACAAATGAGTCATGAACAAAGAAAATTCTTAATCCTAACTGATCCTAGAATCTGGGATCAAATAATTTGTCTCATTTGCAATAATTAGGAAAGCTAATAAGAAAAATAGAATCTGATGATGGTCAATACTCTCCTTTCTTAACATTTGGGTTTAACTCTTACTAAATTCTACAAAATTTGTTTATAAAGGGATAATTACCTTTCATCTATAGATTTTGATTTGGTTATATCACTAACTTATGCAAGACTAAATCACTACACTTAAGATTGCAAGGCGACCCCAACGTGACCGCAACTTGGGCAGGCTAGTGGTGACTGCAAAATGACTTTCTAACACAATCCTTTATACCTAGGACATCCAACCTACAAGATGGTAAATACATGTGATCCAACATTGGGTATAGGATAGTATCTGATTCTGTCTTACGATTCAGTTTAAGTCTAACTCAACTATACAATTGTCTTTTAAAGTGAGGACTGACTTGCACTTACATATATTAACTTAACAATATTACTAGTTAATGTGAGACTAAACCAACTCTTGAGATTGCAATTTTAAGCAACCTCCAAAGAAGTCACAGCTGGGGCGGGTTAGGAGTGTCTGTAATTAAGGAGACTTCTCAGCATACATGTTAGCTGTGTCCAACTTGTTCAATATAGAAGCTTTTCTAGGGTTGTAAGAACTTCGCCAACATGTCAATAGGTTGTTCCATAGAGCCCACAAAACTTATATATGTTTAGACTTCTATTAGTTGATTGGTTATACAACAAAGTGTCGTGGGATATATCTTACAAAGCTTCAAGTTTTGAAGTAAATGCTTTAACCATAAGGGTTCACAGTCGCATTAGCTATTACCCAATACTTGTACTTTATCTTCTGGCTAAAGTCTACCTTTTACTTTTCCTCAAGTTAAAGTTTCCACCAACGAGAACATAATAGCCTATTCTGGATCTTCCCAATATTCATTTGTATATACAATGATGTTAGCATTACTCTTGTCCGTATCAACGAGCCCTTGGCTAGGTAATCCTTTGATGCACCCAAGGATCTGAGCAACTACATTCCAGTGTCTATGACATGGTGAATTGAGATAGTGACTGACAACAGTAATAGGAAAGGAAACGTTTGTAGTCTTTGTTAGATAATTTAATTTCACAACTAATCTATATTTGCCTAGATCATTATAGGAATCTCCCTGACTTGGTAGAAACCTCACATTTGGGTCCATAGGAATATCAACAAGCTTACAAATAAGAATTCCCGTTTCTTCCAAAATATTGATAGTATGTTTCCATCTTTGATATTTAGTTCCGAAGAAGTATCACAATCGACTAAGACATCGTTTCAAAACCTTTGAATTCTGAACTAATGTTGCGTCAACTGCCTGATGTTGTCTTGATCATTACTTGTCAACACAATACTATACACCACAAGTTATCTTATTAAATTGTGAGCATTTAAAGAACACAGAGTGATCTATGTTACCAAACGGTTTGATAGCTACTAAATTTACCAAACCAACCTCAAGGTGATTATTTTAAATCATAGTAACACTTCGGTAGCTTGCAAGCAAGATCAGACTCCCTCTCCCTCTGAGCAACAAAATTAGATGGTTGTTCCATGTAGATTTCTTCCTCAAAATTACATGCAAGATATTTTTAATATCTAGCTAGTACTAGGTATATTGTCTCATGTCAGCCATAAACAAGAATAAAAATCATCAAGGTAACAAGGGAGAAATTATCACCATAATCCAAATCATAAATTTTAGCATATCATTTTGCGACCAGACCAACTAAGACGATAAGAAAATATGAGTGAGGTTTACAATTCTCTTATAACCTTTTCTGCAATATCACATAGATAAAGTGGAATACAACTCGCCTTAGAGAAACGTGAAGAACAAAGTCGAAAACAAAGCACACACGTTTCTTAATAATAGGTTGACTCAAGCTAAGTTGTGTCCTGTCTTTCAACATGAAAGATTTTCTTAACTAAAGTTGGTTACAATAAGTCTTCTCTAAGTCACTTTTTTAACTATACAATCGGTGGTCATTTTAGGTGGAGAACCCGGGTTTCATACCTTACAATTAAATCCTAAAAATATGTAGCATGTCCTGCCTGCCCAAGATTCTCTTCCATTCCTTCATTCTGGAGTAAAAAGAGGCAATAAATGGAGAAATTATATGGACTTTGTCGGTCACCGTTTGTGATCCTGCCTTGATCTAATATGTTTGGTTTAAAAATAATAGTACTGCTAATCTTGCTGGAGGAGGGTCATTGAAGTTATGTCACCTCTTGAATTCCTCTCAACTGATTACGGTGCATGGTTAATCTATAACTTCTGGTCCTGCATAGGTGTTTTCTATTCTCTATATAGAAAGAAAGGCCATAACTTCCGGATTCTTTTGATCTGGCTATTGCGCATTACACTGACTTTTTTCCTTCTGCCTTGTTTCAGGGGCGAGATAGGCTGGGAAACAAGCCGCTATTTGTCTTAGTGAAAGTGGCTGCATGATATTTTTCCTGGTGATTGTGTTTAGTTATGACGATTTGATCTGGCTCTTGTTAGGAGCTTTATTGATGACTGCTTAGATTTTCTTAAGATATATTTTGATGGGATATGCAGCAGAAACCTTCGATGTTTCTGCGAGTAGTTCTTCTCTATTATCATTATCATTATTTATTATTATTATTATTATTATTATTATTATTATTTTCCGTGTCTCCTGATTGGTTTAAAATTCGTAATTTATATTTATAGTAAATAATCAACAGAAAAAACCATTAGAGTCGGTCTAGTGGTTATAAATTTGGGTAATATGCACAGATGAAAATATGTTGTTCTTTTAAAATATTATTATATTGTACTTTATCTTATTTTATAATATCTTATCATGATTTTCCGTTAGTTTTTTAAACATCATTCAGTTTTGACTCTGGAAGATTAAATGAATTTTTTATATAAATATTTTAAGATGACGGTTGTGATGAACACACTATACCTTTTAATATGCTGAAATCAATAATAACATGTTTTTAATTAGTTGAGAGTGATACTAAAATTGTAAATAAATAAATAAATTAGAAAAATGTTTTATATGTATTTCCTCATGACATGAAGACTTTAAAATAATATATATTTTATAAATGTGTTTATTTTATACGGTTCAAATCTCTCCACTTAAAACTGAGGTTCAACGAAAAAATAATGAATGATAATTTGCATGCATAAAAAAATCATCAAAAAGTACAAGTTGAAGGTCAAATGTGTCATTAAATTAACAGAACCTTTAACACCATTAGTTCGTCTGCATTTTAACAGAAAAATAATTGCATGTGAAGATTACGAATATTTTTGTTGACAACTTCATTTTTCTTTCTATAAGAGAGAACTTTTTATTTATAAAAAGTCGAGTATCACTATCCATTTGAATATAAAATCTTAAAATTGATTTAAACGACTTAAATAAAATGCATATATTATGAACTAAAATCGTAAATTTTAAAACAAAAAATTAGTTGATTGATACGTATAAAATTTTCACATTCAATGGAAAGATAGATTATTGTAATATATATATATATATATATATATATATATATATATAAAGAAGCTGAAATATGTTTTTAATTGCCTTTTCGTTTGGTTTTATTTATTTTTTAAAGTTTTGGGAATAGAGTATTGTAATGACAATTATAAAGTCGAAAAATTGTAGTTTACTCAACATTTGTCATGTTAATTTGATTCAGTGAAATGATTTTTAAAATTTTTTTATTAAAGATTTGAATAAGTTTTTAGTTTTCTAAATTAGCACACTTTTTTTTTTGTTATGTGATTAGTTTTTAGGATTGAAGAGTGTTATTACTATTGGTGATGCCACAAATGATGATATAGTCTATTACATGAATTTAACTAAGTCGTATGGTTTTTAATTTTTTTTTGAATTTTTGCGCATTTTGGATTACAATATTTTGCTCATCTTATACATGTGATATATCAATAGCATATTTAACTATTTAGAAACAAAATATTTAAAAGATACTATTTCATAAAAATAAAAACTAATGAGATACTCTATGTCATTTTTTTTAGTGAATTTCTTTTTATGGTAATATAACTGATGATTGCAACTTTACCATTGCACAATTTATCTTTTATATATATATATATATATATATATATATAAATGACGATGATATAAGATAATAAAAAACAAAAAGAAAATATATAATAGATGGATTATGCAAATTATGATTGTGGCAGTTCCAACAAAACCTGAGAATTACATGTATTACACAAAGAAAACCCAGGCTCTGAATGAACTGAACCCAACCCAACACTGAGTTAACTTTTGGTATTTGAAAGGACGAGTTCAGTTTTATTTCCAACACTTTAGCAACTCCGCACCATCGCCGCCCTTCTCTTACGGCACTTGGCTGGATTCTTTCCGATTGAAATGTCGAATAGATCCGGTCAGGGTAGACAAGACAACAATAACAAAGGTTTCACCAAAACCCATAACTACAACAACTTTCTCCCCAAAAATCCCAATCCAACCCTCTCAACTTCTCTCAGACAAACCCAACCATCCATCCCCGCCACCACTAGCGGAGTCCCAAACAGAGGCCAGAATGGTAATTTCGTTAAATACTTACCACAAGACGAGGCCGTGGCGGCGGGTCTTGGCGCCGAAGATGGAGCATTGGATCCCCTCGAATCTCAGAGAGTCGTAGATCTTTTGAACACACACTTGTCACGCTTGCTCAAGTTCAAACCTAAGCAATTCTGGACGCAAGGTACTTCACTCAATTATTCTTCATTCATTCTCTAAAAAAATAATATTTTTTTTCTTCATTCGTCCTCAATCTAATCTTACCAAACCGTGTACACTGATAGTACTCAACTTGTCATTGAATTGTGTGCTGTGATGTTTTTACGTTGGGAATTTTTGTGTGAAGTTGGTGTCAATGTTTTTAATTGTATTTGCAGTGGCTGCTGACGCCTCCCTACATGAGTTTTTGGACAGCTTCTTGCAATTTAGAAACAGGTGGTATGATTTCCCTCATCGCGGGGTGAAAGGGATTGTAGCAGGTGTTATTGTTGGCGAGAGGGATTTGAGTCGCCGCGTTTTCATGGTATTGTATCGCATGTAAGTTTCTCTTGAGTTGGAGTGATGCTCTGTTTTGGACTCTGTATTCTTTATGTGTGATTTTTCGTAATGTGTGTGCATTGCAGTTCTTCGAATAAAGACCCTGGTGCTCGACCGGCCGATGCCCTCAGTTTGAGAGACCATGGAGGTGGGATCTCATTTGACCTTTTTTAGGCTGTGTGGGCTTCATTAGTATATCTTGGCCCAGGCAGAGGTTGAAAACGCATTGGAACAACGTTTTTTGTACATGTTCTATAAAATGTTATGTGTATACAATAAATAGGGAGTGTCTGGTACTGTGCCGAACTCGTGTTTCTGTG